TTACGACACATACGGGACGAATAAGGTTAGTGATACTCCGTATTCTTAATCCGTCACCACACGAGTTATAAAGGTAATTTACCTAAGAACAGAAATGTACCTAACAAACCTAATCTGACAACTCAAGAACACAGCGTACTTTTTATTCAGGAATATATTGTAGTCAGTCTCAAGGAAAAACTAACAACAAAAGACAAAAGCAAGTATTTTTAAGTAGTAATAATATACCAGGTAACATTATGCAATGTAGCGTAATAGGATTTGTAAATGTATTTTTATGTTAACATACACAAACAAATGGGAATAAATATTTGTAAAACGTTGCTTATCGTTGCATGTTGATTTTGCTATGAGAACGAATTCGTTCGCACGTCTCTGCTTCACTTTACATTTCAAACATATGAATATTAATTCTGTACCAATTATTGTTTTTATATCGTGTGCGGTATTGTTTCATTTCGGGTTAATTTGATGCAGCTTCCACAAACGCATGGCCACGGTGGCTTAAAATGGAGGCTATAATCGACCATTGAAAAATTAAGGTGCAATGTATAAACATTGCACCTTAAAGGTGTATTTTCATAAATTTATCCTAAATCGTCGCTTAGGTTCTTTTTAAATATATAATAAATAAATTACTTTTAATAATTATTAATTAATAATTATTAACAATCTAAAGTCTAGAAAATAATGACGCGCCGTTTCTTACCAATTTTTTATCGTATCGTAGTTCCCAAAAAAGATAGAATTATCTATGTAAATTCACAGAGCATGTCAAAATCATTTAATCATTAAAGTACCGACAGAATCTTCTAACACTACATCGGTAACCAATTTAACTCTGCTCCAAGTAAATCATTGATATGAGTTCCTTACGACGAGGAGTGCAATTTAAAGATCAATTGTTAATCACGGAGTGCACTAAAGGCGCACTTGTGGATACATATGATACAATAAGTAGAAACCAATATTACATAAAAATGTACTGTATTATAGTGTATGGTACAGAAATTTAAGTTACATGGCTGCTTGTCTCCAGAAATTTAAGATAAAAACCAGATAAAATCATCATCAACAGTATTCATTAGTCCCAGATTGAACAGTTTCATGCGAGCATCTTAAGGTGTTGACTATCAATCCATGAGCAGGTATGACAGACGGAACCATGATCATCGCACCACTATTGAACATATCCTCAATTTAGATGAAAAACCTCCTAATATTGCATTTGTTTACAATTTTTAACTTTAATGAGATTCTCCTCACAAAGAACAGCTGTATTCACGATCATTGTGCTGCGCTCTAAATTCTAATTCTTTTATCACCACTATATCATTTTTATTAGTAACAATAGTTCTGTCAGTGATGATGGATCGATGTCTATAAAATATGGCTCAACCATTATGAACAAGTGAGACGGACATACCGTTGTACTCCTGAATTCACAAATTGTATTTGGCTAAAAAAGTATAACAGACTTCAACGACCTGTAATATAATGACGCTTAGGGGTCAGAAAAAATATGACATAGTCGAATTCAGAACCTCCTCCTGTTTTTGAAGTGTATTAAAAATTACATAATTGAAATGTATATGACGAAAGACCGATGTCTTTATTGTTTTTGAATAGAGTGACGTCAGCAAAACTAACGTCATTCTTTAGATTGTTGTAATTTTCCTTTATAAATGCTATAGTATTATACAACAACAATAGTAAATCCAATTAAAATCCACACAGTAGTAAATAAACACAACAGTAAATACAGTTAAACATAACAGGTTCCTTAACCCTTAACTACCATGTTAAGTTTCTTCATGGGATAAAACGGAAACATTTTCCAGCTTGGTCCATCATGGACCAAGGCTATATTTTTATGATACTCCCTTTAAAATAGGTACATCCTGTCTGTACTAACATTTAAACTATCGCATGTCATAATATATAACTACCAGCTTTTGCCGGCGGCTGCGCCCGAGTGTATGTCGGTTATCGCGGTAAAAATAGCCTATGTTTATTATTTTATGTACCTTTCCATTGGTGGGAGAAAAAAGGATTTGTAAAATCGGTTAAGTGGTTTAGGTTATAATAAACAAACAAGCAAACACAATTTCACATTTACAATATAAGTACGGTAGTATGGAAGTATTTTTTTAATTTACGGATTGTATGGATGTTTACGGGAATTAACGCGCGGATTGAGTATGTACCTTTTCATTGCCTGACTTTTCGACCCCGTTGCACTGGCTGTGGTGACGGGTTGACTGGTGCGCGCCCTTCGTGATCGAGTTAGTTAGCAATAGAAGTTTATTATCCAAGCGTTAATTCAAATAAGAATAAATCCTGCCTATCACAAAAGTAAATAAAAAACGTAAAACTAATACACTAACATTGAAATCGGATAGTATGCTAAAAATTTATTGCCAAATATTCTCGTAAACCTTCTTCCCGCTTTAAAGTCGGTTTGTAGGTCACACAAATTGACTTTCGTGTGCAATCCCCGGTAGCATCCTGCTGAGTTCGCGACGAATTGACTAAAACCACATCGTCTCTGCAAAATCAGACCTATTGTTGAGTGGCCGGATTATTGAATTGTAGATTGAAATGACTTACTGTAACAAAGTTGTCATTTTCGTTGAGAATCTAAACACAAAATAAGAAAAAATAAAGCAGTTCAGTATCTTTATCTCCTCTGTTTATCCACCAATTTTCTCTTATCTGTTCAGTAAGTTAAATGTAAATTCGATCAAATTCGTTCCCAAACAAAATGGTTTGGTTTTTTTTCATTAACGTAATAACTGAAATTTCAGTGTCGTGATTCTAGTTATAAATGAATGATTTAATAACAATATAATACAATTATTGCCATGGTTATTAAACTTATTACTAAATTAGTAATCTTAGAGCTGTTGTGATGATGGCAACAGGATCTAAAATTAATCAATGAACAATCCAAAGAAGAGCCTCGATAATAAATTAAAGTCATTAAATAATTTTTTGATTCTTTGATTTCTTTGATTTTCTTGTTTTTTTTTTGTTTTTACTTGTGAAATCATCTGTTAAGCGTGTGCCTAGATTGTAGTACATACTAATTAATTTGTATCTGTATATTTTTTTGTTTTTCTTATGTAATATTTAATTTATTGTATAGATTACTTTACTTTTTAACTACAATATTAAGTCTTTATTGTCATAGCTCAGTTAATTTATTTATTTACAGTATTTAAGCTATTGTTTCGGTGACCGATACTTAATAATTTAACAAAAATGTTATTTTGTGTTCTCATGCAAGTGGCTTTTGAATTGTCTTTTTGAGAATAAATGATTTAAACCAAAAATTAATCGTGCGGGGACACATTGCTGATATCGATATTTTACCTCTCGACTTTGAATTACAGGGGTCCAATGACCTAGTTCCCCTTACGAGCCGTGTCATTGCTTGTGTTTACCTGCATTCACCTAACGACGGCCCACATCACACTTATTATGATTATGTTCATAGTTGCTGTAACTTCAATTGTAATTTCATAGCTTGGTTATAAAATAAGTAGGGTGGCTTATTTTATTTTTATAACTGTATAAAATGGAAATAGGTAGAATTTTTATGTTTTTAGTTTTAAAAGTTCATCGTTAATCATTAAAACCATTTTGTCATCTGTCCAGTTAAATTATTTAATCCAAGTACTCGTAGATAATGCGTATAATAGGCATTTTTGTGAGTTGTCCGTAAAAAATAATGAACTTATATTACTTATATTCATCTTATATTGATGATGATGATGATCTTATATTTAACAGTAAAGGAAAATATTAAAATAAATTGTATAAACCACAAATTAAATTGTTTGTTTTTGTAATTTTCGTCACCACACGGACAAAGTGTTAATTTCAGTTAATTTTTGTTTTTGTTTAACTACGAGTATTGCTTATGTTTTATACGATTGTTGAAAGTTGATATTGGAAAAATAGAATTTTAACGAATACTTTTAAAATGTGCATTAGTTTGACCATTGACCGTAATCACCTCCGCAGCGACCCTTAGGCGGCGATTGGGGAGCTAGCGACTCTGTCGCGTCTCCTTCGCCGACGCCTTCGAGCGGGATCGGCCTTCCCCCCATTCTTTCTCCCAATTCTGGAGCATAACGTCCTCGCAGAAGGAGACCGCGGTTGCCCATCCCTCACCACTCGTCTTCATAACGACAAGTTTCGTCCGATCTGTCCGACCAGAACTCGAAGTTCGGACTCCCATGCAGGGCAGTATTCCAGTGTATGTGGTCGGAGTCCCGATCGGACCCGCAGTGCTGGACGAATAGGTATACCTATTATCCGTGTCCGTGTATGTCCGTGTGGTGACGGATTAAAATACGGAGTATCGCCACCCCTATTCATCCCGTAGATGTCGTAAGAGTGTATGACTAAGGTATTCAACTCTGCAGGACAAGATCACTGCAAAGAGAAGGAAAACTTGATACAAACCCTTTACCAATCCGTCTGGCCAGCGTAGTAATGTAGACCAAAAGCTCCTTTCTACGAAGAGGCCAATGTCCAGCAGCGGACTATTAAAGGCTGTTGATGAAACCTATCATTGTTGAATAATTAAATTTACTTTTATCCTCTACTAAATTTAAATCAGACCTTACTAAAATTTTGTAGACTGATAATTGACTTAAAAATTTGGATAAAATAACAAATAGTGAATTAATGAAATTTCCAAAAAAACATTTATAACTCTTGCGAATGCCTAATGTTTGTTTGTTAATTTAAACGTGGTACAGATTAGGTAGGTATATATCTAGTAAACAAAGTATCGTATTTCTCGCTCATAGCTTAAAAAGTAGGTACCGAGTTCTTATAATCCACGTCATGGCTTGTTTACTATCTATATCAAACTAAAATTTATTTAGTCCTGCATTTTTTTTTAATAGAATTGACAACAATCACTCTATGTGTACAGTATGTACTACAGTAACCGTATAAATACCGTATATAATTGCGACATTAAAATGGTTTACATTCTCGATACTACTCGTTACTCGATACGTACGTGAGTGTCTGTAAACAAAGACTGCATTAGTTAAATACAATCTAATCAAGGAAAAAGTATGCAATCCTTTAATAATTTCAGTTTATATAACTCACTTCAATCGCATTACCGTCAATCACAAAACGAATAATAATATAACGTCATCAAATACGTGTTAGAAAGAGACAAAACCAGTGCTCCAATGTTTAGTCAAAGATTTGCTTTATAATGATTAGCTAACAGGTCCTATTTTACTGCAATCTTCCAATGAAAACATACCTTGAGGTAGTGTCATTGTTTTCAAATACTTTATTAAAGGCTTTTGTTTTATACGTAACTACATAATATTAACAAAGAATGTTACTGTTCCTAAAGAATGCAAAACTCTTTAAAATTAAATTTCCTTATACAGAACCGAGAATGTATTTCATACACAGTCGCGGGGCTTTCCAAGAAGACGCGCACACCAGGGCGCAACGGACTTTTGGACGCACACACACACGCACATAACAGCATACGCCATTACAACTGTCAGCCGGCCAGTCGGCGCTCGCGCAACTACCTTGTGGTTGTTTCATAGTCTGTTCGTGTTCCTCATAAATTATTAAGAAACATATTTGGACGTGTTTATTCATTTACATTGATTTCAGTTTCAATTCTAAGTGTTTGTCTTCTATTTCGGATTTCTGGTAAGATTCCTGGTAAGGTATATTTAAGTGAAAACTTTAGAATACTGTTTATATGTATATTTATTATGCTGTGGCATACGATACTAATGGACATTTGCTAAACATCATATACTGCGCCGCGAAGCGCTTCGATTGTTTCAATCTTTTCTGTGGTAAATATGTTCCTATTCTAACGACATACCTACGCAATAAGTGTTTCAAATGGATTCAGTGTTTTTATGTCGTTTTTAATTACTTGACATTAGAAGTTAGATAATGAGTGTTAAAGGTAAATATAGGTTGATAACGTAGTGTTGAATTTGCCTTGAGTGATTTAAAAAATTATGTTTGTATTTAACATACATTTACTTCAAAATACATGCAGTTCCATAATAATATACTTACCAATTTTAATACTTACCAAAAAAAGAAACACACCAACGAAGTAAAGAAAATAAAATCTGAATACGGGTTCATAGTATGAACTTCATACCAATACTCCGCAAAACATGTCTTAAATCAGATCAAGCCCAGGAGAGCGCTTGCTCTCCCACAGCCTCCCACTACAAACCCAACCTTTGAATAGTAGTAGAACGATTTAAAAAATCAACATTTTCAATTACATCGACGGTATCAATAGTATCGATATCAAAAAATGTTGGACACTATTGAACTCTTTGAATACTATATATACTATATTCACTATCGAAATTAACGAAGTATAATAATGAATATCGATAGCATTAATAGTATCGGTCATTTATTGATAACTTTAAAAATTATTGAGTCGAAAGATATAATGCGCCAGAAATCTGAGACGTTTATTTCTTCTATTTACATTTTTCTACGTATATATTTTAATTGGATAATTGGATGTTGTCGATACCTTGGATACTACCGATTTCTAACTATAGTTTTTCATAAATTAGTCCATTATTAATGAAACTGTGGATAGGGTCCAGATTAATGAAAAAAATTAGGTAAGTAAAAAGTTATATCAACGGAGACGTAACTACCTACCTATGCATCAAAGGCGAACTTTGCTATGGATTTCTGTTCTGATTGTAACGGTGTGATTTGCTCTTAAAAAAATTGTCACATAATACACAGTGTACTTGAACAGCTAAGTTATATTTAAACTTGGGTCCTGTTTTTAAAATCTCGCGTTTAACGTTAATGCTTTCAAGGCGGATTGCCTTGTATTGTTTAGTAGACTGATGGACGATCCTTTGCCCCTCAGGCCGTCGTTGAGTGAATACAGAGTGTCACATGTTTCTGACCATATTTTTTTTAACTTATCTGATGGGCTGCCCTAGACTCAACGGAGGTACTCAACTGGGTCTAAGGTATTCCTCCTATGTTAATCTGCCACGCTCGAGTAAATCTCGAAATACCTTCTAGGGCTCCCCTACTAATACTATTAGGTGCATTTCGCGCCCCCTGACTTGCATTACCCAAGAAAGAGTTAAGAGAAAAATCAAGTTTGGAAAGTCTGGAGTCGACTATAGCACCGTGAATTGGCACCTTTTTTTTTCCGTGCGGAAATCCCCTCGGATACCACTTATCGGTGGCATATCGGACTCGAACCGAAATCGAAGATATTCAGATATTATTTGAAAGTCATTTTTATAACATAGTGTATATTTTTTATGAAAAATGTACTCAAGAGAATAGAGTGATTTCCATAAACAAAATAAATAATTTTGTTGATAATTTATAAGCCTTAATTTATATAAAAAAGTAGTATTGGAAGTATAAGCGGCTTACTAGATTGTTATTTTAGAGTGTTCTAAGTACGAGTATAAGACTAATAATGATATAATTGAAAACCTATTTATAACAAAACATGAAAGATGTTTACACATCAACAATTAAATACTATTCATTCAATCTCGATACTATCTCGACTACAGAACGGTCCGCTTTTTATTAATCTATCATTTTTATCATGAACAATATTTATTCAAAACTGTTATTTCGAAAATAATATATTGTATCTATTATATCCATAATTTAAACATAAATGTGAAAGTAAGTATGTTTGTTTGTTTTACGCCTAAACCACTAAACCGATTTCAAAAATTCTTTCACTAATGGGAAGCTACATTTTCAGCGAGTAACATAGGCTATATTTAGTTGGTAGTTATATAAATATATTAAGCGTTTGAACTCAAAAGGAACACGATACACAACTCGTTTTAAACATTGTTTTTATCTATTTTTTTCGCGTCAGTTTTGTTCCTTATTTCTCACTGATACTGGAATTTTAAAAGCGCTGCCTTAGTGTGCTCGATTCCCGGACCTGGCAAAATTTGAAAAGGTTTTTCTGAGAGGAAAAATAGCCTAAGTTACTCCTTATATAGACAGCTACCTGGTAGTAAAATACTATAAAAATCGGTCCAGGCGATTACCTGGTACAAACAGACAGACCGACAAAAAAAATTAAACTGGTTTTTAGTCATAGGTATCGTGCCAATAACCGTGTCAGCATAAAAAAAACTAATTTTTGGACATTACAAACAGACACTTCAATTTTATTTATTTGTAGAGATTAATGCAACCACAATTAGCCACAGCTATGCGTGGCAGGGTACAGCTATTTATTATAAAAAAAAATGCCGGTTCTACTCCTTTACTTAAAAAAAGGAAAGAAATTCTGTTAATACGGTATATCTACCACAATATTTACTACCTATTATGTTATATCAGATATCTTCATAAGACGGTGAGTGTATACTCAATCATAAGTAGGTATTCAAACATTATACTTCACGATAAGAGCTATGAATAGCAAGTAGGCAATTGTAACGTTTCAGTAATATCTGAGAATTATCGTAAAGTTCTAAAAACAACACTAGGATGTAGGAAAATGTTAATCGTAGTAAGACAGAAAAAGTCTTGACATAATTATATCCCGAGAGATATACCTAGTATTATTTAGGTACTCTAAAGATAGTTATTTCAAAAGGTATAAGTAGGCAAAAACCTCCTTTCTAAGAAGAGGCCTATGTCCAACAGTGGACTACTAAAGGCTGTCGATGATGATGATTTAAAAAGGGGTTTATAGCTATCTGTATTAAGTACGTGCCTATTTCCTCCTTTTCAAAATAAATATTCGAAGGAGAATATAAAGTATTTTGAAAATGGTACGTAATCTTTCCCGTATAATAAATACTTCCAATTTTCATATCTTTGGTTACAAAGTGCGCCATTTCTAAAATATGCTTGCCCCAATATTTTATAAGGAACATTTCTTTTTACTACTATCTATCAGCTTCTTTGTCGTGGAAAAACCAAAATGCAATTTATTCACGGTCTTTATGTTTTAATTATTACGTGTATTTTATTATTTAATATACTCGTAGTTGCAATAACTTTGTTATAACTCAAACGACGTCTCATTGTTTAACTTCTTTTATCTGTGTTTTGTAATATTGATTTAATCTCGTTTATCTACCGTTTTGCAAATTGTATTTTAGTTCGGAGACACAACTTTTTAAATTTGGTTTACGTGAGTTTCAAAATAGACTCAATCTTTTATAGGATTGGGTTCATATTGCAGTTAAAACTGATATGGATGCACATATCGCGATGTTAGTTTACTAAGATGGAAATTATTCATTAATACAATTTTTCTCAAAGTATAGCAAGTATTTTTCCTTAAATAATTTACTAACCTAAATATTTACCAAATTAAAATTACACTAAATTTAGTTTGACGTAAAGCCGATAAACAATAATAATTTAAATCCCATTTTTACCCGAAGCCTATAAATGAATAAACTAAATACAAGGAATAACCACAGATTTATTAAATGTTATATATTTACGTTGCAAACAGTCATAGGTAGTCCTGTGGCAACAAAATTGATATTATTACACTGAATAGACTAATAAGACCGCGTGGTGACGGATTAAGAATACAGAGTGTCACCACCCCTATTCATCCCGTGGGTGTCGTAAGAAGCCACTAAGGGAAAAAAACTAGGCAGGACAACAGCACTGCAGAGAGAAGGAAAACTTGACACAAACCCTATACCAACCCGTCTGGCCAGCGTGGTATAGTATAGGCCAAAACCTCCTTTCTGAGGAGAGGCCTATGTCCAGCAGTGGACTATTGAAGGCTGTTGATGATGATGATGATGAGACTAATACGTACACTGAACCTAAAATAAACAATACGATTCACTTATAAAACACACTCAAACGCACACGCCCACACACAAACATATGTTTATACACACACACGCACCCAACGGAATGTATGTATGTGTAGTGTACACATACATACATTCCGGTGCAAAAGGAAGTTGAAGTCGTTGAGTTTATTTTGCGTCAGTTATTTTTCGCAAGCAGAGATTAAAATGCTTTATGCATGTCCATTGATAACGAGAAATTTTTCCATTGGTGCAAATTAAAATTTTGTATGTAATGTAGTAGTAAAACCAAATCACGGAGAGTTTAGTGTATCAATCTTTGAAAAGTTATTGAAAGCAATTATCCATATTTATAAAAATTATTCAACGTATACTTTGATTCAAGGCATCTAATAGTTATGGTTTATTCGACATGACTGAACCAGACCTGGAAATGTCTATAAGGTAGGTAATTATCAGGAATGGCGGGAATGACGTCTGACAGTTGATATCTATCAAGTCCATTGTCAAGCCCGTAGTACCTTAGTACATCTAAGTCTCTTAGGATTATCCCTTAAGATACGTACAAACATCTTTTAACAGACGTATTTGGTTAGATAATTATGTATAGATACACTAGACTCTTAGACCGCATAATTGCATGGTGGTGCAGTGGTACCATATGCGATTGCTGTGCTGAGGTCTCGGGTTCGATAATCGCGTCGGACCAAACATTTGTATGATATGCATATTCTATCAGTCAATCTAACGTTCATAGTACAATCTCTGCTTAGTTTGAAATTGGTTGACGTTGTGTGTTAGATATCCGAAAATATTTTCATTAATTATTTGGTTGGATTCTCATATCCACTTAATCTGTTTTGATACTACCCTCAAGTAAATAAATATATTTACATGACATTACAAGACATTATACTCGTTATTTGATTTTCAGGTATTTCAAATCAGTCAAAGTACTAGAAGGCTCCTTACAATTGTCGACGTCTTAAGGCTGATAAATCCTATTCATAAATATTGCCGTTTTTATATACAACCATGGATATGGTATGACTTAGTGAAAGATATACTGATGACACAATGTGTACAGTGGCAGTGTCTTGGATAGAATAACGTCGCGACTCTGTATTATTTATTAACACGATGTCTAGATCTATTATATCTATTCTAGTCAATTCTTGTAGAGGACTCTTGAAGGTATTCACGACGAACACGATAAATAATTATGTTGGTCGTGAAAAACGTCATACGTTTTAATTTAGTTTCTTTATGTAATAAGTAAATACTTATCATGTAAATAAGCTAATTTACTGATATGTCTGGCGTTTCTATATTTTAGTAAAGCTTGTATTTACAAATTGTAATTTCTAAGTTAATTTATAGCTATAAATAACGATAAGGATTTGTAATTTATATATGTATTATTGTATATTGGTCGTGCATTCGATTTTATTTGTTTTTCTTTTCATTTTAACAACTAAGCTATAATTTCTTACTTTATCCAGTAATTCTTATAAAACTTTTTTACACCAAAACGGACGGTAGTTTGGTAAACAAAAAATTCAAATCAATCAATCTTTTCTTTACCCCAAACAGTATTTTTTTAATATTATGTATACTTTAAAACTTGGACACACATAATCAATTAGGAAAGCCAGAAACAATCTTCTAACAAAATTCTTACATAATATAAAAACGAAACCTATGATAAAAACTGGTAGAGTCAAAGGTAATTGTATGAATGGGCATAAAATTGAACAGTTTTTAACGAACGACGGAAAACGAGGGGAGTTATATGTTTATCCTGTGTATGTGTCTGACTGTCTGTGCCATCATAGCTCCCAACCGGATGTACCAATTTTGATGCAGATTTTTTGTTAGAAAGCCGATGTGATCGAGATGATTCTTAGCTATAAATTTTGAAGATCATCAGCTCACTTCCTATGTGATGAAGGGATCTCACTAAAATAAACAGCCGATTGGTCTGAAATTTGGTATACTACTAATTAATAACTAAAATAACTAATTACTTTCATGGTATTTCCACGACATGGTAACCTGAAACTTGCGGCTGGGCTTTATACTGTTTTTTTTTTGTCGGGGTTTTTTTATTTCGATAGTTATACAATTTTCTAACACTGTATGCAATTAACATTTTATACAATCTGTAAAAATTATGCGTTGTAAGTACAGAAATATAACAGGATAAGATATTTACAGTAGTGTGGATGTAAAATTGAACGAAGAAATTCCTCGTGTGTTAGAGGCCGTTAAAAATGGAAATCACATTAAATGCACGCGTTATCTACAACCTCGACTTTCTATGGCGCAATAAATGAATAAGCACAGAAGCAGTGATTCATTGCACTTATCAGTGAAACAGTAATATCGCAAAACTTGAAATGACTGAATGAATTATGTGAATTTATAAACTCTAAACAACCTACTATTCTAGGTTTAATCAGTTTTCTCTTGTTCATATGTAATGAGAAGCCTAAGTGAATTTGAAGTTACACGAATATATTGTATTGAAGCATGTATGTGTGCGTCTGAGTGTACATATATATTCATGACGTCTAACTATGTGTTTACACTTGAGGCCAATAAATCCGGATCATTTGTATTTAGAGATTTTTACTGCATGGATAGCGTAGTTGTTTAAGCGATCACATCGCCGCTTCCTACTGCTCTGAGTGTTGTTGTTTCGATCACCACACGGGACAACACTTAGTGTGATCCACAAATTGTTGTTCTGGGTCTAAGTGTCCTTTGAGTCTGTTTCATGTATGTTTGTAAAGTTTGTATATTATTTTTTTAAATAATACCTATTTTTCAAATTATACTGTACTAAGTTATATTTGATTTAAATAAAAATAAGTGTCATTTGTTTTTTCTAGTGCCGTCATGATACCTAAAGGGGGCCACTGCTGTGGGATTAGCCTTCGACCTCTATGTTACATCATTGCGTACTCACATTTGGTAAGATCAGTAATACTATTATTTACAAATATTAAAATGGAAGCCGCAGCTATATATATTCGGGCATATTACATAGATGGGTTAATGATAATTGTTCACCAACATCATTGTTTCTGATCTTTTGACAATTTTAATTAGAGTCGACGCAAAGAGTGAAGATGCAGATGGTTTTGACTAATTAATTTATGGCCGATAGCCTGCGTTTTTCGGCATGTAATTATTTTCAGATGGCATAAAGAACGAAGGTAAATTTTTGAAAGAAAAACAGTAGGGTGCTAGGGTAAGGGATACCTCAAATATCGGATATGAAACGGGTCTAAACTGCAACGGCTTGAAGAGATCGGGTACTGGTATAACCTATACTGTGATTTGATAGGCCATTAAAGCAGGGATATCATTTGATTATACTCAATATAAAGTTGAAAAGATTAGTTGTTAGTAAAGGTATACATATTCGTGACATAGGTAATTTGTTGATAACATGTGTGGTAATAAAATGGTTTGTTCACCTAAAGCAGGCACCATGCACTGAAGCGTGTAATACCTATTTCCCTAGCAGCATCTCGCTAGCGCTGTCTCGTGAAATTACCTGTATACAACAGAGGCATCTGTTTAAATCTAACATCTTACCATAATGATCTAATTAATATGGATAGTCTTTTAAATCGGGGATAATTTTTCGCAGCAATATAATCAATTATGTTTAGCACTTACAGTATAGTTGGCATTTAAATATTATAGTGGCTGATTCTTTACCCCTTTGGTGATATCCCCTGGATACACATATTACAGCATTCATGTCCATATAGGCTGAGTGTTTGTAGGTATGTAATTACAACCGATGCGAAGTACTTTTGCCATTCACCGCAACTGACAAACAATGGAACAGACCAGTCCCCAGACAATACACACATTACAGCAAAACAACAACTAAGAAACCGATACAAGACATTTTGCAGATGGAGAGACTGTAAATAACGTTTAAATTAAATAACAGGTCTGTGTTCGGCCAATACGAAGAAGATGTTTTATTTTGTGAATGTTATGTATGATGAAACTGTATAAAAAACATCTGTTCTACAAATAATAGGAAACGTACGAAGCTATAACCTCTTAAAGTCAGTAAAAATCATTTTTTGTAAATTAAATTTTTATCATTAGCAATGGTTTTTCCCAATAATACAAAGTACATATATCTACCAAGCATAAGTTCTTTTATAATAGTTTTTGCCATATAATCATCATCAACAGTTTTTAATAATCCACTGATGGACATAGTCCTCTCCTTAGAAAGGAGATTTTGCCATATATCTGGCTTTAAATTCTGACAAAGAATCGAATTTTAAAATATCTATGTACTATCCATTGTTCTATCCGTAAATTACGAGCGGATATTTAAATTGTATTAAGAAATGTACTTTAATGCTACTTATCGATTTAATACAATTTAAAAAAACTCTGATTGCTTACAAAATATTTAATCTATATTTCTTGACCTGATACGTTCAGGAGAGCCTCGCAAAGGTATTCTAATACAGAGAAAATCAAAACTTATTCTTGAGATGTTTTAGTTCATGAAAGCTCTTTTATCAGTCTCAGTAACTTAATATTAAACCAGAGTAGAATGCTTTAGGAAAATATATGACGATATGTAAAACAATAAATAAAAAAAGTGGAAAAACCTACATTTGTTTGTCTACTAGGAGGCTGAAAAGGGTGAAAACGCGCACTGCGGTTCATGACATCGGCGTGGTGAAATTTACGTAGGTAATCATTCCTAAGAAGGTCTAGTGTTTTTTGTTTCAAGAGTTTAGTTTGTTTTAAATGTCCATTGTAATGTCCGGTGAGGGTTATTCTTGGCAATAGGCGTCACAAATGGCATCTGAGATCCATCACAAAATATTCGCCTATCTCAAGGCCGTTTTACAACACCTTTTAGGCTTTTTGAACTAAAGATATTTGCAATTCAGATGGTAACGAGATCTATACTGAAAGAAATTGAGACGCCACATACGTAGGACAAGTAAGAAAAATATAATATTATTAGACAGTTTATTGTTTATCTGCAAGCAGTTAATAGACATTTAAATTTTGAAAACTTTTATTGTACACAAATTTCCATTATGAAATGTCTTGGACCATATCCAAATTAAATTAAAAATTTGGATTCAATGTTTACTACTTAGAATGATATGTATATGTAAGTAAGTAAGATAGTAAGTATAACTTCTTTTAGCATAGTTAACAGACATAAATACTTTTAAGCTTTTATTCCCGAGGGGGTACATTTTGTCACTTACATAATAGGAGGCAAATTTACTGTCACCAACCAGGTACATAATGAATTAAGAATACGAACATTTGGTTTATTGAATATATATAGATTTGTAAAAAAGAAGGGTAGGGATGTAAGGGAAGGCTATATATTTATATATGAGTATATAGGCTGATATGGATGTATTAATTTATATCTATAACTTGAACTTGAATTTTTTACTGTAAGATTTTTTATATATGCTAAAACATGTAGGTAAATCGTTGATCGCTGTTTTGTTTGTCAACAAAAAACAACTATAATAACGTCAAATGTATATTTTACGTCATTGTGCATCTCTGATGACAATATAGGTAGTCAATAGAAGTCACGTGGATCTCATAAACAACGTATCATATGTTTATTCGCATCATCAATGTATAAAGTCGACCGTCAGTAGGTACTATAATGCATAGAATGTAAAGGCAATAAAACTATTAAAATTTATAGAAATATTTTTATCGCACAGTAAAAAATATCATAAAAGTGGATTTCTATCACATCTGCTACCCACGTAGCAGATGTGATAGAAATCCACTAAGAGGATATAAATTTCAATATTAACTGGAGAAGAATTATTGGTCAGTTCATAGTCAAAACGATTAAGTAGTTGTTTATTTAAACATTTTTTTCATTACTAAGAACTAAGCGACTTTTTCACGATTTACAGTTCTATTTCGTGTTAGGTATAAATTTTTTCTTCATATTGTAGCTAATAAATTATTAATAAATTCAAATGTACATAAAACAGTTCTAAATAAAACAGTAACACAAGTCGTTGTTTTTTTTTTTTGCTTTTAAAGAAATCAGACATCCAGCAACGCGATTCAGGTTCAAAATAAGTATCTTAAGTAAAGTAATTATCAAAGAATAGGTATGTAGGAGCTATCCCACATGCATGAAGGTGTGGAGTGGCAATAAAAACATGGTAAAAAAATGGTTGATTGTAAAGAAATTGATTAGACTATGAGTAAAATATCCTCTTTGTAAGCGTTACCAGAAAGATGACGTGTATCTGATGTTAACTCACAACACTTCTCTAAGACTGTAATCCATTTGTAGTATTCGTTAGGATTCATAAATAGTAATTGTAACTAACTTCCGATATGTAATAAACGGCTGTTATATAACAACCTCAGGCCTTCTCGATTGAAACACGATTGATCCGAACAATCGAATACATAATCACTGTTATTATACTATCTCGATATCTCGATTGGACTACCAAATACATTAATAATAATGTAGACTCCAATTGAAACGCATTAAAGTAATCGCTAGAGCGAACATCGTACTTCAATGGGACTAATTCGGTTTATGATGATGAGTTGTTGTGGTTGTTGTTTGTTGGATATTACACATCCCTAGATATATTTCAAATACAGCTTGTATTAGTCATAATTAGACTCAAATATAGTTATAATTAGACTTGTCAGCGCTGAGCATAAGTAGTATTTTAGAGATGAAATTGATAGTTATTTAAATCGCGAGGTCTGACTGAGGGGTCGTTGCTGCTTTAAAATAGAAACAAAAAGAGATGAAAGTAATCAAATAACTTCTGTTCAGTATACAGAAGGACCTAGTTGTTACCTGAATTAGAAAGTCTGATCAACTGTCTGATTTTATAAACATGGCTTGCGATAATTTCTTCAGTAGCAGTAAATCTTTAAGATATGTACAGCCCTTATTGTAGTCATGTAGAACTATTCAATGTGTACTCTCACTTACTTGTTATACTAAGGCCTCGTTCAGGACCTCTCCATAGACTTGTGTCTCATTCAACGGGGTCTAAGATTGTAGTATTGAATTCGTCTAATTAAAATAATATCATATTAAAATAAATCAGAACAATATTAGTGGTGGACGTAACTATTTAACGCATCTAGAAAAAAAAATATATGACTTTTATTTAATTTGGGGAAAAGGATCATTTTTTATTCAAAATAAAAGTTAACAATTTATTCACGAATTTCAATCAATTGAATATGTCGCATAAAATTAAAAATGGCAGAATATTTAACTTGGATGTATCTGCCATTACATTATTAATTGATACCGGAATATTTTCGTATCAGGATGTGACAAAATAAATACCGGACTGACACACTTTGGTGATGAAATGGAAGGTGTCACTACAAAACTATATTCGTTGTAGTAATTTTAGTTCAATCCGTTTAGAGTATTTATTTAATACACCCATAATTTTGTTACACGTAATTACATTTATACATTCATTTTTTGAAGCCTCTTGATAATTTGTGCATTCTCGTTACGTATCCAATCACAGAATGGACAAACGGATACATTCCGTTTCTCTATCCAAGACTTGTGGTAGGGATACCGCAATGTATCCATATCATAACTTTCTCAACTTCTTTCATTTTCCCGTGGAAGTATTTTGTTAAATAGGAAGTTACTGCCAAGGTATAACAAATGCTTCGTCATCAATCATCGAAATGCTTCGTAAATTTGATTATTATTTTTGTTTGCAGTTGTCGAGCTTGGTGGACCTGCTGTGTCATTTCGTGACAGTCGCTACTGCCACTAACTGGTTTCAGTGTGATGTCAATGCTGAAGGTGTAAGTAATCTCATCTTTCTACTTCTTCTTACGAACCGAGTTTGAAAACGTGTTTTTTTTTACACTTTTTGATAATACTGATTATTTTGAAATTAAAAATAGGTCAAATAAGTTAAGAATTAGTCAACAAGCAGATGTGTGATCTGAAGTCTACGGCAGATGAATTAAAATACCGTAGAGCTCTTGCTTTTTTTTAACTTTGAATGTTGACTGCAACTAGCACATTAACATAATAAATTAATTGAGTTTTAAAATTTATAGTTGTCTGCGGTGTTATTCTCAACAACAAATCGTATCATACTCTATTTAAATTTATTGTAAACTTTAATGTTTCAATAGAGACTGTTAATCAATCAATGACTTGAAAACAACATTTTTCTGTATAAAATATATAATGTATTTTTTTCTGTACACCCGCGATACCGTGTTTGCAGAATTTTCTGAAATAAATGCTTAATTTAAATGTGTGCATGTGGCATGGAAGTATCTAACTCAATTGGTACTAATATCGGCACCAACAATCATAAATAAATCAGTAAGTTAGCCTTTATATTCATATCTGCAAAATTGCAAGGTCAAAATTACACACAATAACAAGATGGCGTTTATTACCAGTATTGTTTGCGATGTTGACGAAAGCAAGCCGTAGCTGTTAAAATAATAGAGTTTATTGTTGTAACTGAAGACGTAATGATGAAAAAATGTTAATATTATGGCATTTTACACAAAGATGAACCAAACTTAATGACTTTGACGTTTTATATCTTTGCCAATAATTCATTAATTTATTAAAATATTTTAAAATACCATTTATAGCCATGAGAAAAATGAAACTTTAAAGTACCATTTTCCTTATTCCGATATATGTTACATTTTATCATTACCTCATCAATAAACACCGCAGTCTAAAATAAGTCGAAACACTAGTTGTGAGAGGTTTTTTCTTTAATTAGTATAAGAACTCACGAACTAAGGCGATCTAGCATAGAAAATTTGAAAACAACTTTTAAACGCTAACTATAGAAATCTACTCGCTACTTCAGTACTAGAAAACCAAACCATGCACATTAACAATCACTTAAATTGCAAATCACGTCATTTACGAGCATCTGTCAATAATCAGTTTATATTGCTCAAAATTAAATAGTCTCGCGAGCTAGCGTCTAAAGTTTATATTTACACAAGTGCTTCCTGTCGCCGAATTAAGCAAAATCAACTAAATAAATAGCGACTCTTGCTCCTACACAATAATGAATTTAGGACGCATAGCACTAATTTACATACACTCATAGTCGCCATGAAGTTGCATCTCTTTTCTTTCTATAACATAATTGTAATTTATTTTGGCCACGTTAAGGTGATCTACTTTTAAAGATTTCAATTTATAATTATCAGTTATGTATCTACAGTCTACTTTTAGAAGCAAATATACGATTGTTTTTGGAGGAGGATTGACTAGTGCTTGACTAGTCTAGGTTCCAACTAACGAACGATGCGTCGTAGCGGCTGATTGAGCACCAAACTGTAATGCGACCAGACTGACTTCAGTCAGATAATATAAAAATAATTTACATGTAATGCCTTCTTACTTTAAAGCTAAGCGAATCACAATTGTTTTCCTTACGACTATACCGACGGTAAGACTTAGTGAGTATTTTCTGAGAAACTTGCATGAATGTACAAATTCAACCACAAAGTTTGTAGAACGCGTCGGTCATACTAATGACCGCCATGTAACAACCTTACTTTTAAATGTTTTAAAATATTAAGTTGATCAGGTTTTGGTATTCGGAGCTCCAGGAATAGATAGAGATTGCAAAGAGCGTATTACTCATATATTTTCTGACTGGCTATGAATTTGTTGTTCGTATAAGATACGTGTATATAATTAACGTCCAATTATCTGTATTTTATTCTATCTTGAACAAAAACTTAACTTTTAAATCGTTTACAAAACAACACAAACTTTTAAGTCGTTTTGAATACCATAAATTCAAACATCAATAATAATCCAATTACAACGAATATCTGATTTGTAGGTATCTCAAGTCGTTGTACTGGTATAATTTTATAAAATCACTGTCATACTGGACTTTTTTCACGAGTGGAAATCCCCTCTAGTCATCGTCTCACCGGGACCAAAAGGTGATAAAAACCAGACGTCATTCCGTCATAAAGTCTTATAAATCGAAAGGAAATTCAATAAAACATTAGCTAACCATCTAATTTAATGCTTCACTAAAGTTCACATTGATAGTCAACTAATTAATTAATTCAGTTTTGAGGAAAATAGTGAGAAGTAGACATTGAAATAAATTATTTAGGACATATGTTTTGTTACACACCCAGTGTCACAGCTGTAGGAATACTAGTGTTATTATTCTAAGTGATGACGCACTCGAACATAGTTACTATTTATTTCAAAAGATACAATTAATATATAGGTACGATATAATTTGACTTTTTCATTGTATAGCAAATTATATTAGCATCTTCGGGTATATTCTCCATTTAGGCGACGTCCGGCACACGCAGACGTCGCCTCCTCGCGGCTTATCGTTGCCTCCTCCGTTATGGCGGGTTGAGGGGAGACCCTCTCCGCCACCTCCTTCTGCGAAATGACGTCTCTGGAGAACTCTGAAACATCTGTCACTACCGGCCATGGAGCGTATGACGGTCGGTATTGGGACTAATCCCACCCACACGCCCACCGCTGTAACTCCTGTACACCAGGATCCACAGCAGTGACCCACGAACACACCGAGTTATGACACTCGGGAAGTCCCAGGAATGAATTAAACTGTCTTGGAACCCGCAACGAAATTAAACAGAAGAAAATTGGAGGAGTTGGAAATACAGTAAATCCACTTCCCTCCTTAGCAAAGCGGGAGACAAAATGAAGTAAAATAGGCATACACCCTTTTAAACAGGGAAGCACCACGGCCACAAATATTACGGGTCCTACGTGAGCTATGTTTGATTTCTATAATATGTATGGCAGAATCGCCTAAACGCACGGAAATTCACCCTAGTTGACACAAGATCCCCATAGTATACCGCCCCAGATGTCACCTGCAAGCTATTCAACACAGCGACACAGTGATCCACCTCAAGCCATATCCTCGACAACCGTTCGCGAACAGATGGAAAGAATTGGTAAAGATGGCGCCCCTTGGATGATTCATCCCAGCGTTGTTGCCATTCGTTTATGAGGTCGTTATAGACATCGGACTGCTGTTGAAGCAATCTTGTAATTTTACCGCGATCCCGCGCGCCCAAAAAATCGCATTCCATGTTTTGTTGTCTTGAATAGTACATGGCTGCACGTCTCTGCACCTCGAGATCGACCGGAAGCACACCCGCCAACACCGGCAAAGCCTCAGTGCTAACCGTCCTATATGCCTTACACAAGAATATCAGTGCAAGTCGTTGGCCTTGTAACAGTTTGCGACGAACAGCGCCTACGGTCGCCCTATCGGCCCATACAGGTGCACCATAGCACATAGAACCTAAATAAGTAGCTCCGTATATGATCTTTAATGTATTAAATGATAGACCCCATGTCGCAGTTGATATCCTTGTCAATGCACAGAAACTCTTTTTAGACTTTTCATTAACTATTTTAATATGTTCGATAAATGAAAAGTTTCTTTCTAAAACTAATCCTAGATAACACACTGTGTGTTTTATTTTTTACAGTAACATTGTCAAATCTAATGCTCGGCGGTGATTTGAGGTTACCTTTTAAAAGTAGCTGGAAGGTTTTGTTGGGTGCAAAAGTTAAGCGATTACGTTCACCCCATTGAGATATCAAGTTCAAACATCTATTGGCTAATCTCTCAAGCCCCGCCCTAGTATCAGATTCCACCAGTAATAAGCCGTCATCAGCATACGCGTTCAGAGTACATCCGGATGGTATACGATGATGATGACGGTCGGTAGCGAGAGATCAATTGTGCTGAACCGAGTCCTCACTGCAATCGCAGGCGGGACTCAATCCCTCCTAGCGACCGATTGCAGGTACTTCCCGAAGCAGCCGTGCCCGGAAAGTACCTGCGTTCGCCGGAACGAAAGTGTCCCGTACTGCCGCCCTGCCCACTCGACCCTCGCTCCACGGCGGCAAATCTAGCACGTGGGGCCTCCAACCGGGACGACCAACGTGGCTCAGCGAGCGGTCTCACGCCAGTCGCGTATCTCTTCGGGCGGGGGCTGAATGCCGCTACCCGCCCGGAACTCAGCCGTCCGCCGATATACTTCAGCGAGCACTTCTGCCTCCAAATCCCACGCCGCCTCCGTCGATACGGTGCTGTAACCGCGTATGGCTCTAACTGCCAATATCCTCTAAGGGTGCCATAGGCGTGCCCTATTCTAGTCAGTCAGATCCGCCGACCACACCGGTGCACCGTACAGTGCCATTATCTGGACAACCCCCGTGTACAGCCGTCTTGTCGCGACGCTGGTTCATCCCAAATTGGGCAAAAGACGCCTTAAGACAGCGCTGACCAGCTTTGGAGCAAGCTGTCGGAAGTGCTCGTCGAAGAGCCACGTCCCGTCGAGGATCAGGCCCAGATATTTCATCTGGGCCTGAAACGGTACGAGGACCGACTTGACCACGATTGAGGCGCCAGGGGTTTACCACGACGGGGTCCTTTGAATAGGAGGGCCGCCATCTTATCCAGGGCCACCCGTAAGCCCAGTGCCTCAACGCGACCGACCCCCAGAGAGACTCCCCTGGTGGTTCGCCCCCCCAGGCTGTGACTAAAGTGTCATCAGCGTAACAGATTAAACCCAGCCCGGGGGGGATACATCGTAAGGCCCTGTCGGCAGACTATTGAATGCCTTAGCGATGTCCAACAACACCCAGAATCGGCAGGCCATCCCGGCTTCTTTAGCAAGACTAGGTTCCCGCTCGCCGAGGTCGATTTTTAGTCTAAGTAGACTTAAAAATCGAAGTTCTTTCGTATTCATCCCGTATCGTAGTCGATACGGGTTCAATACGAAAGAACTTCGATTTTTTACGCAGAGCGACTGCCATCAGACCTCCACTCCACAACCGAAGCACTTGGCGATATCGAAGTTCTGTAAAAAGACTGTTGTTGGACGTTTTAGGGCTCTAACCACGATTGCCACAGATGTTTGTATGGCAACTATACTCGGTTAGCCACGACACCACAGCATATGATGTGTAATATTTGAATTCTCACTTACCATCTGGCCGCCAACTGTAGTAACAAGTAGCCTGTTTTACTAGCTGATAATGTAGCTTTCCATTTGTAAAAGAATTGTTAAAATAGGTATAGTTGTTTAGGACTAAAAGCGAAACTAACAAATTTTAATTTTATGACTAATTCCGAAAGGAGATTCATTTAAATGGCTGATTCCAGTTGAAGATCCAGTGTAAGTGGGTACAGGTTAATGAACTCTTCGATTTTGCGTTTGTGTTTTGTAAGTACGTGTTTCTATTAACTTCTTCTCTTTTTCAACAGCTAAAAGCCGTATCAGTACCATGGCTGGAACCAATCCTCATCGTGATAAACCTCGGCACCCATGGTTTCTACCCATACCCTCGTGTCGTCCGCAACCAGTACCCTACCTACGTAGAAATGATGACAGTGATTGGTGAATCCAGGTGTTATCCTGGCATGCTACACATCCATCTGATTGATCTTCTTAACTTCTTGATCAACATAATTTGGCTGAGGATAGTTATTTCTTATGTTGGAGCAGTACATAAGGTAAGATAATTTTCACATTAGTTTATACAGGGTGCTACTGATAAGTGCTATCCCATTTAAGAGTCGTTTAATATATCCAAGACTGGCATAAAGTTCTAGTACTTTTAGAAAAAGTCTAGTAGTTTGACTAAGTCTGGAATGAACTGCCAATGTCTATTTTTCTGCTCAATTATAACCTTGGATAGGTCAGAAGTGCATTGGTCTCTTTTAGACAACTATGTGCCATCATCATCATTACTTTTTATCACATGGCTTGGAGACAAGACCTCTTCTAATACCAAATATAAAAAAAAACTTAAAAATTAAACCTAACGAATTTCGGAAAAAAGAGAGCTGTCATGATTACAACTCTATGGATGTTGATTTAACGTATGTTTTAAAATACAAAATCATGAAATGCACATAAAAATAAATTAAAATGGACTTCATAATTACATTAATTAATTTATGTGTCTAGACAAATACTTTTATACATCGTACCTTACTAGTAGTATCCTTCCGCCACAACGGTAAATCAAAAGAGTTCCGCTATCGCCTAGACGCACACATTAACGACAAATAATATTTTACACACATAAAAAAGCTTGCGCTAATTCATCTCACATGATTTATTGATTATGAACCCTAAACGGCACTTATAATGTTAATGAATACAACCTTAAAGCCTTCAAAATAAGGTAGCTTTTCCAGGGACCTGTATTGTTCTAGAGGCGGTCGTCAAGACACCGTAGTGATGTAGTACTTTGGCCATTTATCGAAAAAAAATACGAGAATAATTTTAAGTAAATTATTGATTTGACTGAAACTCTGATGACATTGACTTTACTATTCATGAACATTTTATTGTAAAATAATACTCTTGACAGAACACAGAATTAAATAATGTGATTGAAATATAATGTATTCAAAATACTTTTTGACCCTCAAATAAAGAGTATTTATTGTATAATTGCCGTTTTGTGTCTTTTTGTACATTGTAATTTATCAAATTAAAATGGAATTTGAATATTTATGTATTTTACAATAACGCATTTTATTTGACGAAAGCTTATTTTACTACCTACTAACTGGCGTAAGATTTGAAGAAGTATCCGATTTTTTATTTACGCACCTTAGTTGGTCAGATAGTCATTTCAATTTTTGTTAAAACTAATGCTATGATTCCAAAATAAGGTCATTAAAAAATGTTAGAGATCTAAAAAAATTTTTGCTGTCGGTTAAGAATCATAATACAAAAGAAACCGTGCACTAAACAGAAAATCATTTTAAAAAACAAAATCATCGATAACTATAATATTGCGATGTCAAATGAATTAAAATAAGATAATGAATTAAAATAAGAATGTGGTCAACATTACTATCGGAACCAAATATAAACTGTGACTTTACCAAATACTTTAGTGCAAAATGTTTAGAAATATTACTTCACGAAATGCATTTCATTGCGTGATTTCGTGTTTACAATGCAGTTAGTGCTCAAATTTGATACGCAATGTATGATTGCTTTCACAGAGTAGATCATAACGGTTTTCTATCTTGTATTACATAATACATTGTGATTTTTTTTTTGTTAACATTACTTAAGAAACATTGGTTTTTAGACCCACCGATGATATGACCCTTTAGACAAATTTCAGTCCTGGCTTCGTTGGCCCCCCTGGTCACTCAATTATCGCGCAACTCAGCATTGCGATATTTTTTTTATGGAGCTGCGTTCCCGGCGAAAGTAATACGCGAGTACGAATGTTTTCAGAAAATTATGTACGTTTACTCGTAACTCGCCTACATCGCCATTCTACCTTATTCACTGTTCTGTGTCACTTGTCACTCAACTTGTTCACTTGTCTTGTCAAAGAGACCTCTTAACATCAGACTGACTATATGGTATGACGAATATTTCTATTAATTGCAGAAAGACCCCGAGCCTATGAGAATGTTCTTTAGCCTGTCAGTCGTCAAGCTGGTGATGCAGGCCATGTATTTCGGTTACCAGCCCGCATTTTACGACATATACAGCACAGAAACCATTTGGTTCTTGAAATTGACTGATATCTGTGAGTACTTAAATATTTATTAAAGAAATAAATTTCACTTGATACGTTGAACTAAAATCTTTCAAGTACCTGTTTAAAAGGTTGACAGCGTGATTATATCTCCTGTTGCTACGTCTACTCTATTGTGCCATTATCATTAAAAAAACTCTAGCTAACCACAGTTTATATGAAAAACTTAATAAAAACTGCCAACTGTCTAGTTTATCTTCCTGTAGGAATCTGAAATTAAGTTCCATTACTAAGAAATAAAATCAGTAAACCAACTAAATGCCAAAAAAAACCTTTAAGAACCTTGGTTATTGTTTGTTGTAAAATTACAATGAAGAATTTCAATTTTCAGTGGTTGCCATAATTTTCCTGGTGATCGTCCAAAGATACTCAAAGTTCCTAAGGATGGAGAATGCAGCTAACCAGAATGTAGAGAAACCTCCCGCTTACATTGAATGTCTAATTAATTCTCCTATTCGCCCACCCGCATATGAAGCAAAAGAAGAAGTAATCGTCGTAGAAGAAGAGAAAAAACACTAACTACAACAGGTTCAACTTAGAGAAATTAATTGACTTATGGATCTGAATAAAGTAATCTTGTTATAAGTTCTTGTGTAAATGACGAATTAAAAGAAAGGTGCAAGTAGCTAGCATCTTTCGTCTCAGCAGCTGACACTTAATGCATGGTCAATTATAGTATAATTATTAATCAAAATAAGAAATTTTATGAACGTACCGCCATATTGTGAAATATGTTCTTAGAATAGAGGCGGCAAATTTTTTTCTTTTAATTGTGCTATTCACGCAAAATGTTGTTTGTTTACCCTCACTGTGTAGTCAACAACGAATGCCCTTATAAATTGGTATACTTGCGAAAGATTACTACGTTACTTGAATAATTTAATACAAGTACCTACAAAAAAGTCTCAAATCTTCACTTATTGGATTCTCGTATCAATTTGGTTGCTAAATTTTTAATACTTCAAGAATGTGTATGCTACGTATGATTATCTTATTCCATATAAAAATATTATGTATTTATAGGGTAAAGATTATTTAATTAAAAATACCCTAAATTGATATTGTTTTTTTCGTAAATAATTACTTGAAGTTTAATAATTATGTATATTAGATAGAACTTGATAAACTTTTAATTATCGTGTAAAACGAACCATTTTTTCAATTTTATCCAAAACTTTAGAGCGGCATAGTCACACTCGCGATTCAAAATAAAACGGAGAAATATTCTCATTTATTAAGATACTGTAAATGTAAGTGTTATGCTATTCTTTACTATATAATACAATTATATTTATTATAAAATAATAAAAACTCAGTCTTAAGAATAACATATATGCCGACAGAAATACTACTCCAAAACTAAAATGCCTGTCACGCATCTCACGGATGCACTTGATGTTATTTTAACAAATTTTTGTTCTATTATTGGTTACAGTGCCTTGTGTACTTTATTTACAACGAAAGTAATCATCTAATCGTTTTTAAACTTTTGCTATTATACATGATTAGACCTTTCGACAACTATGAATTTCGGTCGAAAAGTCGGCTAACTAAAAGTGCAATTGTAAATTTTAATTATGTCCTCGATAAAATCCCGATTTACACATCTAGTTATGATCGAAGTTTATTTCGTGTCACCGTACTTTTATTTTTCCACATATTTTTCTGTTATGGTTACGTGCAAAAGATATAAACAATGTCTAAAATATATGATTGTTTACCATCCTTATAAAAATGGCAAACGGAGCATTGGATTAATCAGATTATTGTGTTTACCAAACGATCGACCGTGAGTTGACGTTTCAATGTTAGGAATAACCCGGTTTTATTATCTAACGTGACGTCATCCGACGATCATACCGGTTTGAACTAATGCGAGCTGGTTTTAATTAATTTTCGCAGCATTCTCCTTATTTTATTGGTAGTATTATACTTAAAGTGAAATGTATTCCTTTTAATCTAAGTCTAATATTTTTTTTTAGATATTGTGTTCAGATGTTCGTGATACTTTAAATTCCTATATTGTGTAAATTGCGTGGTAAATATGAAATTTAAGTTTATTATATTTTTTGAATTGTATGTGAAAATTTGTTCTATTTAATACATTGTTGAATAATCAAAAGCTTTTCTCCAATTTAATAGCAAGCATCCGTGTGGTGACGGATTAAGAATACGATGTGTCACCACCCCTATTCATCCCGTGGGTGTCGTAAGAGCCGACTAAGCGAGCAAACTACGCAAAACAAAAGTACTGCAAAGAGAAGGAAAACTTGACACAAACCCTTTTTTTTTTTTTTTTTTTTAACGTGTGGAAATCCCCTCGGACCGTCACCCCTCCGGGGTTTGTGGCGGGGTGGTGTGTCGGACTCGGACCGACTAAAACCACACGGTGTGCCACTCTGCGCCTGTAACAGGAGGGATCCGGGAACAGCTGTTGTTAAGACATCCGGACCCCTCCTAGCGCCAGCCCGCTCCTGGTGCGGGCTCCGTCTCAATACATTTTCCTCTCTTTAGGCGACGTCCGGCACACGCGGACGCCGCCCCCTCGCGGCTGGCCAACTAATGCGGGTGGAGGGGAAACCCACCCCGTCCACCCGCGGCCACACTCAGGGCGGCATGAGGCTGTGGTAGGCGGGCCTCCGCCGCCCGGTTCGCCGGCGGCGGATCGGGTCCGAGTGGAGGTCGTCCTCCCGGGCCCTCTCCGCCGCCTCCTTCCGCGAGATTACTACCTCGCAGAAGGTTGCGACCGCGGTAAAACAACTGTCGCTACCGGCCATGGAGCGTACTACGGCCGGTAGCGAGAGATCCACTCCGATGACTGCAGTGAGGGCCCGGCGCTGCGCCGCCCATGCGGGGCAGACCGCCAGCGTGTGCTGGGCCGAGTCCTCACTGCAGTCGCAGTGGTGGCAGGCGGGACTCAGTTCCCTCCTAGCGACCGTGTGCAGGTACTTTCCGAAGCAACCATGCCGGAAGGAAAGGGTCCCGTGCTGCCGCCCTGCCCACTCGGCGATGACCGGCTGGAGAGCCTCCACGGCGGCAAAGCCAGCGCGTGGAGTCTCCAGCCGGAACGACCAACGAGCCATCGTGGCTCGGCGAGCGGCTTCGCGCCACTCGCGCACATCCTCGGGCGGAGGGCGAAATCCGCTCTCCGCCCGGAAGTCAGCCACTCGCCGATAAACTTCGGCGAGCACTTCCGCCTCCAAATCCCACGGGGGAGTTCCGGCCAATGCGCATGCCACCCTCCGTCGAAACGGTGCGGTAACCGCGTATGGCTCTGACCGCCATTACCCTCTGAGGGCGCCAGAGGCGTACCCTATTCTGGGCGGTCAGAGCCGCCGCCCACACCGGTGCACCGTACAGTGCCATTGACTGGACAACCCCCGTGTACAGCCGTCTTGTCGCGACGCTGGGTCCACCCATATTGGGCAAGAGTCGCCCTAGGGCAGACGCAGCGCCGACCAGCTTTGGAGCAAGCTGTCGGAAGTGCTCGTCGAAGAGCCACCTCCCGTCGAGGATCAGGCCCAGATATTTCATCTGGGCCCGAACCGGTACGAGGACCGAGTTGACCACTATTGAGGCGCCAGGGGGTGGACCACGACGGGGCCCATGGAATAACAGGGCCTCCGTCTTATCGAGGGCCACCCGTAAGCCCAGCGCCTCAATGCGCCCGACCACCAGGGAGACTCCCCCTGTGGCCAGGCGCGCCGCCTCTTGGAAGTTTGCCCCCCGGGCTGTCACGAGGGTATCGTCTGCGTAACAGATTACACCCAGCCCGGGGGGGAAATCGGCGCGAAGGGCCCAGTCGTACCCTATGTTCCACAAGAGGGGTCCAAGAACAGACCCCTGTGGAACACCGCACGACATGGGCCGACACCTCAGGTTACCTTCTCGGTCCTCGTACACGACGGTACGCTCCTCTAAATAGTCTGCCACCAGCCGCCTCAGGTACTTTGGCACCCCATGATAGTGGAGTGCTTCCCTGATGCAGCTGAATGGCAGACTATTGAATGCGTTGGCGATGTCTAATGACACCGCCAACAGCACGCCGCCACAGCTCACGGCCTCTTCGGTCACGGCCCTCAGGCGCAACACGGCGTCGACTGTCGAACGCCCCGCCCGAAAACCAAATTGGGCGTCCGACAGATCGGGGCCCACCTCGCAGAGGTGCCGGACGATGCGGGCAGAAAGAACCCTCTCAAACAATTTGCCCGCCTCGTCCAGCAGCACGATGGGCCTATAGGCCGCGACCGAATCGGCAGGCCGTCCCGGCTTCCTCAATAGGACCAGCTTCCCGCTCTTCCAGCACTCAGGGAAGCGTCCCCGACGCCAAGCTAGCGTCGAACACCTCCCCGAGGCGGTCTGCCATGTGGTTGAGGGCCAGGGCCAGCACTCGGGCCGGTACCCCGTCTGGCCCAGGGGCGGTGTTCTTGGAACGGATCCGTAGAACAGCCGCCCCTACCTCCGAATCCCGGACGGGCGGAACATTGTCCTCCCCGTGCTCCCCGTCGTCTCCGGCCAGGGAGGCCATCGACGGGGGAGTGTGTTCCGCTCGTTGTGGGAAAAGGCCCTCAACCACTTCTCGCAGGAAGCTGGGCTGGAGAGTCTCCGTAAGGGGGGGGCCCGACGCGCGGAGCTTTTGTCGCACCGCGCGGTAAGGGCGACCCCAGGGGTCACGATTAAGACCCTCCAGCATCTCCTGTCTCTTTTCCTCTTTGGCGCGGCTAATGGCCAGCTTCAGAGTTTTCCGAGCCCGTCGGTACTCCTCATGAAGCCGGTCCTCCTCACCGTCTCCACGGTGACGCCGCCGACTGCGCGTGTAGGACCTCCGGGCACGTGTACAGGCCGCACGGAGGTCCGCCAGCTCCTGGGACCACCAGTAGACCTCCTTCCTTGGAGGCCGACGACCTCGAACGCGGGGCATGGCCGCATCGCATACATGCGTAATCGCATCGCGAAAGCGGCCAGCCCCCACGTCGACCTCCTCGGTCGGAGCCTGAGGAGACAGCCACGAGTGAATTATGGCTGCCTCCTCTAGTAGGTCCCGGTTCAGCCTGGCAACAGCCCACCGCGGAAAGCGGGATAAACGCCGCGCCACGTGACCCCTACTGGAGTCCTGGGTCCGGGAGAGCTCAAATCGGATGTACAGGTGATCCGAGAGCGTCTCAACCTCTTCCAGGACACGCCAGTTCCTTACTCGTGCGGCGAGGGCAGGGGTAGCGAACGAGAGGTCCACTATCGACCCCCCCTGCTGTCGCACGCACGTGTTGGTGGAGCCTCTGTTTAGAAGACAGAGGCCCACCGAGGCCGCCCACTCCTCTACGGCCTCGCCCCTGGCGTCCGTCCTGGGGGAACCCCACGCAATGGACTTTGCGTTGAAGTCCCCCAGCACAAGGACGTGCCCAGACGCTAGTCGCCGTATCGAGGTCTCCAAGCTGGTCAGGAAAACCTCGAAGTCGTTCAAACTCCGGTTGGGGGAGAAATAGACACCATATATGGTGATCCCCCCCCACTCGACGGCA